GTACATTTAGTATCTTCATATTTTGAAATGTTATAAGCTATATAGGTATATCTCTAAGTATACACATATATATAAATTCCAATAACACACGTATGTTTAAAAGATACTTTTGGACATGTCTGAAAAATATCTAAAAGTATCTTTTAAATATTTTTTAGACATGCTTAAAATATATCTTTTAAACACATACATGTGTTGGAATTTACTTAAGTATATATACTGATATATACATACAGCTTATACATAATTTCAAACATTCTAAAATATTTAAACTTGTGTGTTTTCCGGAAAGATTAAATATATAATTATTAAATTAAAGGAAAGGAAGGATATAAATAGAATTAAATTATAATATTTCTAAACACAATGAGACGATTAGCATAATTTATATTAATCTGCATATGTATTGATGAATACCGATTGTAAGTGTATCCCTATTGTTACACAAATAACACCTGTTTAAAATGACATTCTACGTACATTCTGCGTACATAAAATACTGAATATATTAAACAGCTGTGTGACTCAAACTAAAAATATCATAATTTCACATTTCACAATGAAAAAGATTCGATATGTTCGAAAAAACAAAAAAAAATATTTGAAAATATACATTTCAAAATATATATATATATATATATGTACACACACATATAATTTAAAACTTACAATTAGATATAACATTATCTTGTTTATTTCTTAGAAAAACGAAGAAATTATCTGACGGTGACGATTTTAAATTAGCGTCAATTGTGATAGACAACTAATTCTTAATGTTAATTTTCCTTCACGTAATCTACCTAACGTAGTTTATCTTGCTATTTGATTAGTGATCTAAAAAGAGCGGTGAAAATGTTAATGTAAATGAACCTTGTGAATGTAACTGCCCTGGAGAATTATCGAGTCAACTAAATTTTCTTCCTCTTCATTTAGATTCAAGACGACGAGAAAAGAGCAGAGAAATGCGATAATCAGGTCGAATTAACTACTGTCGTCGTGGCTTTAAATATTAGCAAGTTAAGTAGTTTTTTAATTGTCTTGTTTACACTTCGATCGTAGTTACAACGAAGAATCTAATCTAACCGGGAATCTAATTAGAACTAAAACGCACATACAAGTAAATCTTTATTGTTACAAAAAGAGAGAGATCGGGAAGTAATACGAAATGCATTAATTTATTTTAAGTTGTTTTGAATTATTTTCTTTTTTTCCTTTCTCTATGCAACGAATATAAAGACGAATATAAAGAGAGGAGTGATATTGCTTCTAAAATTTCAATTATATATTGTTCCTTATAAATTCATGGGCTTTATTAACTAGAAGGTTTTATTAGCTAGAAAAACTTGTATATTTGTATTCATATCTATTCTCATGGTGAATTCGTTCACTATAATAGTATTTAAAAAAAACCTTTACATACAAATCTACTTTACATAATTACATGCAGTTGCATAATCAACTTTGACAACGAAATAACATATATTTTATTATATTTTATTAAATAGTATATTTTGTTAAATAAAATATCAATATCATTATTGGATAATTAGTTATTCAAAATATTTATATGCTTTTTATATGATTTTTATATATTTTTATATATTTTATATGATATTTAACTTTGCTTTCACGTATAGTGATTCTTAGACTTTCAATATGCATTAATTTAGTGTAATGTAACTGATCGCACAATCGTTATTATATATACATAAAACATCTTAAGTTAAGTATTTTAAGATGTCATAAAACTAGAAATTTTGTGGATTATCACTGTGTTTTTATCCACTGCTAATGCCAAGATTTCGAACCTTGCCGTTCATTTCATCAAATAGCAATGGATAAAAACACAGCGATAACCTGCAAACCTTCTAGTATTTTTAAAGATAATATCTGTGAAAATCTAAAAAGCCTTATGTCATAAAACCAATTACAAAGAGTTAGCCTTTTAAAAAATTACTTAAGATGGTCTTGAAGTAAAGAAAGAAAAAAAATAAATACTATAAATACTGTCGTAAAATCATCATGAGCGTTATGTATTTTGCGGTTTAGGGCCTCGCAACGTGCAGATGTATCCAGATGCAGACGTGTCGGTTTTCTTAGAGCGTGCTGAAGCACAGCTTGAATCTTGAGACTAAAGTCTGTTCTTTTACCTGGCGGTAACATCGACGCACCTGGCTGTGGCGGAGCTGTTGCAATCGGCTGCGGTGGCTGCAGTCCCATCCCCGACAGCGGGGGATACGGTGCATAATACTTTTGGTCGGTCATTCTTCTACTTCCGGCTTACCCTCGTTTCTTCTGTGAACAAAGTAACGAAACGGGCAGAGTCAACCAACAAGCTTCCAATAGATTGTGCAAGATTATTTCAAAAGGAAGGAAAATGAAGCCCAGAGGCGAGCGAAAGGTAGTCGTGCATTACGATAAAAATATAAGAATATAAAAAGATATTAACATGAGTAAGAGTGAATGATTCAATATCTCCGATTCAAATTCTTCTCAGCTTGAGAAATACAGAGTAAAACTATACACTGTTAAATATGTGATGAATCATGAAATTTAATGTACTTTTAAGTTACACAAATTAAATTAAATTTAATAATGTTACATTAAATTTTTAATTTATATATAATTTGTAATTGAAAAATATATTTATATACATGTACATGAAATTTACTGCCTTTTTTGATGGTGTAGCTATTAATATAAACTGATAATAAAAGTATGAGCTACTAATAA